GTAATTCTTTTCTTCATCTGAAATCTTGACATTGTTCCAATCAAAATCATGATTAAATTCAAATCTATGTTCCGTAATAATCGAGTGTTGATTAGTATGTCTATTGACGTGATTACGTGATGTTCTGATATTCTGGTTTTTCCTGAATAATCTTTTCGTTTGGCCTACATATGAAGCGTTACAATCAGAATAATTAATTTTATATACTACGTTAAAATGTAAAAAAGAATGTAATTTGTCCTTTTAAATTCTAATAAAAGAATTTAATTTATGTAATACATATAGGCCAAGCTAACGGTTATTTTTGAAAAATCTTTTGAATTTCTCTGATATTGAACATAGGAAACAATAAAAAAGATTGTTAAAGATTTAGTTGCAGATTGAGAATTTTTATTTGTACTAATTTCGTTGCTGTTAAGTTGTTTATATTTTATGTAAAGTCTTTTTTTGATATAATTAAATATTATATTATATTAAGAGAATATCCGTTATTCAGTTAGTAATAAAATGTTTATTACTAACCAAAAGTTTTTATCATGGAAACTAGGATATGATAATAATAAAACTCTGCCCGTTAGACTAAAAAATTATTCCCATTTTCTGACTTGAAGGGCACAAAAAATAATTTAAGTATCGTGCTAAAAAAGTTTGTTTCTGATATCAATTATAACAGAGTATTATTTTTTTTTTATCAGCGTTACATCAAGAAAGAAATTTAAACTATTACCATCAAGCTCTACTGTAAATTTTAATTTAGGATGAAAACTATTAATTACTTATGATCGTATCGATGTTGCACTCTTGAGTTGAGAGTACAATCATCGACACCTATAATAAAATTCTAAAGAGAACGATAATTTTTCAAGTACAAAAGTCTCTAGATCTTACATGACTAAATCTGAAATGGGAAATCCTATTGGGATACCAAAGGACTATTTGTAGAATTTGTCATTAAAGCTGAAGTTAAGTACAAACAATTGCTTTGAAAAATTCATCTTTTGGTAAATTAATTTTACTGAAAAAAAAGACTGGTTGTTGCAACAATTAGTAAAATATGGCATAACATTTTTATATAGTTGCAGCAATTACTTTTTGGTTGTAGCAGCAAATTTTTAGTTGCGTTAGCCTATCAAAATCATATACTGACATTGCGGATAAGCTAACACAACTAAAAATTTGCTGCTACAACCAAAAACTGGTTGTTGCAGATATATAAAAATGCTATGCTATATTTTACTTGTATTATTTAAATTATTGCAGTAACCTTTTCTTTCAGTGTATGATTAAGAAAATGCCAACGTCGATCAATGCTTTTTATCACTAAGTCTACAGATACGTTTGTAAAAAGTGAGACGTCCAATGATATCAACACCGAGTCATTAGATATAAAAATTTGCTTTAGTAAAATCATTCATAGGTTGAAAACTGTCTTTATGTAACCGTAAAATTTTTTTAAGTTATTGTCCAAAATTTTGTGTAAAAAGGTCGCAAGATTATGTAAGGGACTGTCTCTAAAGGAAACTATAACACAGGTTGCTCTGTTTGTGAATTTTGGGCAAATCATAAATCCTAGGTAATATTGGACTTGTTGAGTTTAAAAAATTATAAGTAAATAAAAAATCAGAAACTAATTCTCAACTTTTCCAAATTTTTAACAAATCCTTTAAGTCAGATAATACCTTATTTGAAGGATTGCGTTTGACAACAGTGTAGGTATCAGTAACCGGAAGCAAAAATTCCATTTTATTTACATAATCAATTTTCAAGAGCTACTACTACATTTCCTTTGTCAGCATGTGTTAAAATTATTTGTGGGAGTCTCTTTATATTAAGAAACAAGAGAATGGTTTAAATTTAGAAGAGGATACTGAAATGTTGGATTCTTTATACTATGATTTATTTTAGAAGAATGATTTTTCCAAATTTTATAGTTAATGCGCATACTTTGTTTTTA